TGTGTGTGTGTGTGTGTGTGTGTGTGTGTGTGTACGTGTGTGTGTTTCTTTTACATGCTTATTTAAAAATTCCATTTTCTTCAAAATAAACATACATTACTTTTTCTCAATACTAATTTAAAGAAAAAATCCTAAATAATTAAATTCAGAAAATTTCCATGAGAATACCGTATATTGGAAAATCAACCTTCACAATGGGCCTCAATACGTTGTAACTTAAAAATCACTCATCATGTAACCTTAAGTCAAACTGCCTGGGTTTTGATCTTGTCATCAGTTAGTAAGTGTGATGCTAAAAGTTACTTGATTTCCACAAAATAGTAATCAGGAGCTGGCAGCAGGGATCGGATGAGGGTGCTTGCTGCCAAGCCTGGGGACTTGAGCTTGATCTCTGGACCTGCATGGTGGAAGAAGAGAGCCCATTCCCTCGGGTTGTTCTCTGACCTCCACGGGTGTTGTGGCACAAGCACATCAACCTATAAGAGTGCAAGATCTGGCATACATACACACACACACACACACACACACACAGACACACACACACACACACACACACAAAATAAATGTAACTAAACATAGTAATAGGACTTTTCACCTACTGTGAAGAGATACTAGGCAGCTGCAGCTATTGTGTGCCAGATGTTTCATGTCTTGTTGTTTCGTTGTTTTTTTTTAGGTTTTTGACGTCTTTGGGACAGGGTCTCATGCAGCCCAGGCTGGCCTTAAACTCTGTATGCAGCCAAGGATGACAAGGATGAACGCCTGATCTTCCTGCTTCCACCTCTCTAGTGCTGGGATTACCAAAGAGTGCCACCTCGCCAGACTTGTTTCATATACTTTATTTACTCCTCAGCCCAAGTTAATGGGGGCAAGTCCTCCTCATATCCATTTCAGTCAAGACCACAGAGGGGCTAGCAGAGCTGAGCTGCACTTTAAGTCGCTTGTCTAATAAAACTGCCTTCTAAACCGGCTGTTAAAGCGCTTGGCAAAAACCTGACACTTAGTAGGTGCTCACTAAAGTTTCCTACGGTCATTTAAATATTGGGTGTTAGGTAATAGTTTCAAAAACTCGCGCACAATGGGATTTAATTTAGCAGAAAGCTTGCTGGCCCGGGAGGGACTCAGGTGGCGTGAGCCAGCGCGGGGGCGCAGCGGTGGGGGGGCGGGGCCGTGGAGGGGAGGGCAGATGGGCAGGGCCTCCGGAGCCCCGCCCCTGGCACCTGCGACAGGTGGAGCGCGAGGCGCCAGGCACTCGGCCATGTCCGCGGACGCCACCCGGCCGGAGTCCGGGCCGGAGTCGGGGCTGGGACCGGAAGCCGGGCTGTGCCCCGAGCATGGCGAGCCTCTGAGCTGGTTCTGCCGTTGCGAGCGGCGGCCGGTGTGCGCAGCCTGCGCGGGGCTGGGCGGCCGCTGCCACCGGCACCGCATTCGCAGGGCGGAGGAGCACGCCGAAGAGCTGCGGGTGAGCGGGCGAGGGGCCGGGACCGGGGGTGGCACGCTCCGGACCCAGGGGACGCGCCAGGCGGGTCTGGCAGGGACCAGAGCCGGGGTCAGGGCTCCTCCGTGCCTTACCCGGTAGAGCGAGGCGGTTAAAGTTGTGGCCTTTGGAAGTGCACTGGTTCCGAGTTCAAATCCCAGCCGTCCCTGTGAGTCACTGAACTTTGGGGGCTCCGTATCTTCGACTGTAGGTTAGGGACATTCATAATAGTACGTGTTTATTATAGGTGACCTCGGACAAAATGCAGTTCCCCCTTCACCCCTTTGACTCAGAACCTCCTCCCCTCCCTGTAGGCTTCCCTTCCAACCTCACTGTGACTGTTCTTGAAGCTGATGCAGGGGGTAGGGACTACAACCGGACCTTCTGTATTGTCTAAGGTCTCACCTCCACGTTAAGTGTGGCTCCAGGCAGGTCACCTTCTTGTCCCAGTCTTCCCTCTCTCCTTTCCCCTGGGCAGCCGAGATTGGAGTCCAAGTCACCTTGGTGCTTCTTTCTTTCACCCTAGCTGCAGCCCCTGGGGAACTCCTTGCAATTTGATTAAATGGCTTAGTTAACCCCTCCCTGGTGGGTTAGCATTGCTGTGCACTGAAGGCTGTCACTGGGGACTTCACTCAGACCACATTGTAATAAATACACCTTTACTGGATGCTGAGGCCAGAAGGGTTCAATGATGAAAATAAACTTGGGTAGAGTGATATAACCAACTTGCATCATGGGTAGGAATTTTTGCAAATTCCTAAGCACTTAAATATCTATCATCTCATTCCATCCAGGCTAGGCCTTTGAAGTGACAGTCCTAACTCGTGTTTTACAGATGAGAAAACTGAGGCCAGGAGCAGTTCAGGGCTTAGAGGGGAGATTCATTGACGACAAGAGGAAACCACCTCCTGACTTCAGTGGTTAGAAGGAGGAAGTGAGCTAATGGAAAACCTTGAAAAGTAGCCATTGTGCCTGACTAGTGGGAGGGGTGAGGACTGGGGCAGGGTAGCAGGCTTGGTACTCTGCCCCAGGTGTCTTCTCTGGAACCCACTCCCACAAGAAAGATTTTAAGTGTATGTCTGTCCTTGACTTAGAGGAAGTGAGTCTTGCTCTCTTCTGTCCACTTTAGTGTCTCTTTCTTTCTCTCTTTTCTTTTAAAAAATATTTTAATTATTTTATGTGTATGCATGTACTGCCTGCATATATGTAAGTGCACCAGCATTGTGTGATGCCCGAGGGGACAGAAGGCATCAGATCCCCGGAACTGGAGTTCCAAAGGTTGTTGGCTGCCATGTGTGTGCTGGGATTTGAACCTGGGTCTTCTGCAAGAACATCCAGTGCTCTTAACCACTGAGCCATCTCTCCAGCCCCCTTTCTTTTCTTTTTAAGTGCTGAGGATTTAACCAGGGCTTTGTGTGGGTTAGGCAAGCCCTCTACAACTGAGCTATGTTCCCCACCCCTAGAATGCATACTGCCTTCAGTACACTCCTTTCCCCTAGTCCTCCAGCCTGCAAAGAAACTGCACTGCACAGCAAGACCATTACTGATCTGGGCCAAAACAACCCCAGGTTCACCTGCTCTTCTCACTTCTAGATTCCTACCCAGAAGCTTTTCAGAAGCTAGACTCAAGTTAGGAACCAGCCTAGATGCCCATCAATGAATGAATTAATAAGGAAAATGTGACTACAGGAGGTATAAACACTAGAGTATTATTCCATCATAAAGGATGAAATTGTGTCATTTGCAGGGAAATGGGTGGCAGTGGAAATCACCATGTTAAGTGAAATAGGCCTGATTCAGAGTCTATATCTCTCAGATATAGAATCTGAAAACAGCCACAAAAAGACAGCATGATGAGCTGCAGAGATGGCTCAGCATGTCAGAGCATTTGCTGTTCTTCCAGAGGATCCAAATTCACTCCCCAGCTCCCATGTCAGGTGGCTCACAACTGCCTGTAACTCTAGTTCCAAGGGATATGAAGCCATGTCTGACTTTTACGAACACCCCACACATGGAATATGTACACACAGACACATACATACATATGCATATAAAAATAAAATAATAATAAAGATGACGATGACTGGGTGTGGTGGTACACTGGTGAGGATGGCAAGTTTGAGGCCAGTGTGGGCTTCATGATGAAGCTCTGTCTCAAAATAAATAAATAAATAAATAAATAAATAAATAAATAAATAAATAAATAATAAAAGATTGCATGAAATTAGAAGAGGGACCATTAGAGAAGAGGAAGAGAAGACCAGGGGGTAGGGGAAGGAAGAGTAATGCAGGGTAGATGTGATTAAACAAGAGTCAAAACGAAACGTTCTATATAATTAGTGCACACCAATAAAACCTAATTTTATTTTTTTTACATTTATTTATGAGTATATGCCTGCATGTATGTGAGTGCACCCGTGTCATACAATGCCACAGAGGTTAGAAGAGGGCTTCGGATTCCCCTGGAACTGGAGTTAAGGACAGTTTGTAGCTGCCATGTGGGTGCTGGGAATTGAACCCGGGTCCTCTGTAAGAGCAGTCAGTGCTCTTAACCGCTGAGCCATCTCTCCAGCCCCTATAAAACATAATTTTATAAAAAGAAAGTTAAAAAAAGAAAAATAAAAAAAGCCAAGCTCAGTTCCCTCAGTCCTTGGATGTGTGGTGATCATAGCTTCCTTGTAGTTGATTCAGTTCATTAACTTTGGGCCTATAAAGTATAAGACTAACTCCTACTGGTAGGAGGAAGGGTTTGGTAGAATTTCTTGGAAGAGGTAATTTGATTGCATTGTGGTACTTAGGACAACCCTTAGGGGAAGTAATGGAGGACTGCTGCTTGGAAGGGCTCCAGCTGTTCCCTGGAGGCACAGAGTGGGCAAATAGAGGTCCAGGCATATCTTCTAGGGTGAGCCACTTCTCCACAGGCCTTACCTGTCTCATATCTAAACCTTTCCCCTGCCACCTGTTGGTAGCTTTGGGAACTGAAAACTGATGACCCTTTTATGGTCAAAGTAGTGGGTGTTCATTCAGTAAATATTTATTTAAGACCCTTTATATGCAGGAACTCCCTTCTAGATAGTAGGGTATAGAGAACAAACAGGTCAGAGCTATGGTGTTCATGTTCCAGTAACAGTGGGGGGGAGGGGTGGGCAGGAACACATATAAAATAAACACATAATATATAATCAGGGAATTATAACTGGGATCAGGGAAAATACAGCAAAACAAAGATGGGGCTGAGTCAGTGAAGGTCTTTCTGAAGAGGTGCTGTCTGGATGGAGTGGAGTGGAGCAAGATAGACACAAAGGGGGATTACTGCTGAAGAAATAAGGAACAGCAAGTGCAAAAGGACTGAGCTTAGGATAAATTTGGTGTCTTTAAGGAACAGAAAGAAGGTCAGCGTGAAAAGTAGTTGGAGACATAGAGTCATGTCAGGTAGGACCTATTGGCTAAGATAAGAGGCTTGCACTTGGGGCTAGTGAGATGGTTAAGTGTACTGGCTGTTCTTGCAGGGGACCTGGGTTCAATTCCTAGAACCCACATGGCAACTAAGAACCATCTGTAACTCCAGTTCCTGGGGATCTGATGCCCTCTTCTGACTTCCGCAGGCATTTTACAACATGGGTACATTTACATACATGCAGGCAATACACTCATACACATAAACTAAAGCAAAAATAATAAATAATTTGATTTTTAAAAAAGAGAGGCTTGCTCTCACTGTGAATGTATTGAAAAGCCATTGGAAGGTTTCTGAGCAGGACACAGCCTGTTCTGATTTCCTTAGGAAAGGTGGCTGTGGGTAATAGGGGAGGCTTTAAGATTAAGAAAGGAAGCCTGAGGCTTGGCATGGGGCAGGCAGATCTGTGAGTTCAAGGCCAGCCTGGTCTACAAAGTGAGTTCCAGGACAGCCGGGGCTACAGAGAGACCCTGTCTCAAAAAGACTGAGAGAGAGAGAGAGAGAGAGAGAGAGAGAGAGAGAGAGAGAGAGAGAGAGAGAGAGAGAGAGAGAGAGAGAGAGAGAGAGAGAGAGAGAGAGAGAGAGAGAGAGAGAAATGAAGCCTGGCATGGAGGGTTTAATAGGGTTCCTGTGGGAGGTGATGGCCATTTGGGTAGAGTTACAGGAGTAGAGGTGGCTTATCATCTATCTATGCAAAAGAGAGAGAGAGAGAGAGAGAGAGAGAGAGAAAGAGAGAGAAAGAGAGAGACTGAGTGCTGAGTGACTGACTTTGTAGGTGGGGGCTGATGGGTTCACTGGGGGCGGGAGGTGCTAGATAATCTCCTGGATTTTTCATCTGGGTAATAGGTCGATGACCAATGGTGCTGTTCCATGAATGGGAATGTCTTGAGGGAGAGCAATCAAAAGCCATATTCTGCCCAGGTGCAGGTGTAGAGCTGGGTTGTCAGGGAGCTGGGTATGATGGAAAGTTGAAAGTGTATGTAAGGAAGTGATTATAATGACAGGCCATGGGGGATTTGGGACAAAGAAGGAAGCGAAACCACAAAGGGTCTGTGGACAGCAAAATGTGGTAGTGTATTGGTGATCCCAACTGAGCTACTGGAATAGGGATTCCAGCATTAGTGAGCTTGAAGGAAGAGTGTGGTGTGGGATTGTTGACACAAATAAAGGTTTTGGGGTGATATTGTTTTTGATAATGATGAGATCTGGGTTATGGTCATGGGACTGGGTGATTGAGGGTAGGGTAAAACAGCAACATCTCTGGAATGAGTGAGTGGCTTGTATGCACGGATAAGGACACCATAAATGCCATTTGTGTTGCAGAACAAGATTGTAGACCATTGTGAGAGGCTGCAGTTACAGAGCGCCGGCATCACCAAGTACATGGCTGAGGTTCTGCCAGCAAAGAACCAGAAAGCAGCGGTATGCTTCCTCTTTTCTCTCTGCACTGTCCCTCCTCCTAGGGTAAGACCCTGGCCTAGAGTTTTGGACAATCTAGGATCCCTTCCCAAACTCACAGACTCATTGTGCTGCTAGTGAAGCTGACTGTCCAGGAAGGATGGTTTTCCATCCCCTTGAGCCTCAGTTATACCATCCAGACAGAGTAGGCATGTTCTTATACCACATTGGCTGCGGACTGTAGAAAACAGCTTTCTTGGGTATTTTGGGGTAGAGAATCAAGAAGGGTAGCGTCTTTTACCAGCTCTTTTGTGCTCAGCTCCAGAATTACAAACTTCCTTAGGAATTTTTATGGGGTATCTTAGTTCCTTTTCTTTTTTTTTTTTGTACCCTTTTCTCTTTTTTAGTAGTAAGAATTGATCCCAGGGTCATGTACATGCTATGCAAGTGGTCTACCACTGAGCTACATCCCCAGCTTTTTTTTTGGTGTTTTGTTTTGTTTTGTTTTGTTTTGCTTTTGCCTTTTTGAGAAAGGGTCTCCCTGTAGCCCCAGCTGTCCTGGAACTCACTATGTAGACCAGGCTGGCCTTGAGCTCACAGAGATCCACCTACCTCTGCCTCCCAAGTGCTAGGACTACAGGTATGCGCCACCACCCCTGGCTGTTTTGTTTTGTTTTGTTTGTTTAAGACAGAAGCTCATAGCCCAGACTGGTTTCAAACTTGCAATATAGCCAAGATTGACCTTGAACCTACTGATCCTCCTGCCTCACTTCCAGAGTACTGAAATGACAGGCAAATGCCACCATTCCAAGATCCTTTGAAGTATTCCTATGACAGTTTTATGCTGTAGATGGTAGTAGTGTCTCTATCTAAAGATGGAGAAATGGGTCTTGTAGAGGTTAACTGACTTGCCCAAGACCCCATTGTCTCATGGCAGTCAGTTCTATGACGTGGATCTGCTGACTCTCAGGCCAGTGCTCCTTCTGCTACATGTCACTGCTCAGCCTTTTAGTGCCACTGCTGTGTCTTCCCTCTCAAGTATACCCTTCCAGGCAGGGCCTATGAATTCTTTCTATTCTTTTCTGCCTGCCCCCGACCCCCGGTCCCCTGACCCCATACATATATAGCACATGGAACAGCCTTGGCACTGCCTTCGTCAAGTTTCTTTCGGTTGCATAAACTGAACTAGCATAAGCAAATGGGGAACTTCACAGCAGGATACAGGGGTCCCTGCAAAGCTAAGGGGACTAGAACTAGGAACCAGAAAGCGTCTAGGAGCCTAACCATTCATCTCCATTGCTATTTGCATGACAACCTTGATTTCTCTATCTCAGTCTGTTTCTCTCTCTTGTTATTTTTACTTTCTTGTCATGTTGCATTGACTATGCCTTCAACACAGTGTTGACTAGAAGCTACAGAAGCAAATCTTGACTTAAGTGAAAGACTTGCAACATTTCACTATTTATTTAAATCCTTGTGGAACACGTAACCATACTCCAGGCACTATAGGTACTATTGGCCTGTGTGCAAGGGATTCTAGAGTAAACAAAACACATGAATTCTACATTCTTGTCAAGGAAGAGAGATAATAAAAAATAGAATACATGCTGTCAGAAGGCAATATCTTTTTTAAGGGAGATATAAAACAAGACATACTGAGGATAGGGGTTGTAGTTACTGGGGCTGTGATAAGGAATGCTGTTATTAAGAAGTTGGATATGGGGGCTGGAGAGAGATGGTTCAGTGGTTAAGAGCACTAGCTGCCCTTGCAGAGGACCTGGGTTCAGTTCCTAGCACCCATGTTAGGCAGTTCACAGCCACCTCTAACTCCAGCTCTAGGGAGTCTGATGCCCTCTTCTGGTCTCTTAGGGCACCTGCACACAGTTGCACATTCTCACATCATACATAGACACATATACATAAATAAATTTAAAAAAACCACTTAAGTTTAAAAAGGAGCCCTCTTGCAGCTACACTAAGAAGTGACTCTAGACAGCCAAAGTCAAAGCAGAGGGGAAGCGTTTGTAATAATAAAAGTGGAACTTGATGCTGGTTTGAATTCAAGTGAGTTTAGTTGCCATTTGCTTAAAAAGTCTCTTCTTCCCATTGTGCAGCTTATGGGTCTCAGTTTCCTCCATAAACCAGCAATGATCACCTCCTGCACTCTTCAAAGCATGTCTTCAGGGACAGGGCCCAGGAAGCAGCTGGCTATCCCTGGTTTTCTGACATGAGGGAGGCAGCCCTCCTCTGACTCTGACTCATTTGGCAAGAGTCTGAGTGCAGGTGCTCTGTGCAGTATATGCCTTTGGAGAACTGGTTACCATGTGGCATCAGGCATAGGGAAGTAGTGCTGTCGGTCGGGAGAATGGGCTTCTGGCTCCACCTCTGCCACTGACTTGCTGTATCAGAGCTAGCAAGAGATTTTTTCCTAAGTCAGGAGAGGTTTCCCATTCAGTCATCAAATCAGTATTTATAGGTACCAATTGCATGCCAGACCCTGACTGCTGGGAGTTAGAGGAAGATACTAACATCATTAACTGAGAATTTATTTCAGGACCCCTCTATGGTAGATTAAAAACCCTACTTTGGATGATTTAGAATGAATAGCCTTAGAAAATAATGAAATTTTGGTCCTTAGATGGGGTAAAATTTCAACTAGACCCTAGTTGGTACTGGTCTGGTTGACGAAGATGACTTTTTTTTAGGCCCCTCTGCCCTGTGATCTCTATGATCCCCTCCCCTTGGCTCCATAGCTCTGTGTTTCAAACCATGAAATAAGAAAGCAATTCTAGTTGATGTTCAAGCCCTGTCCAGCTTCTCCATAATGTGATCATGGTCTTACAAGATCTCAAATTTCTTTCCCTTAAACCACATTTGGGAAGTCTTAATGTTGGGACATCAAAATTAATGGCTTGAGTACCATTATTGCCCTTTCTGTGCCCATGGCAGACATTGCCAATCGATCTCAGCATATTTCTGCTAATACTGACTGGGCTTTGCCGGGACGTGACTCTCATTTTATCTCTTGGCAGAGCATGGCCAGTGCAGCACGGGAGCTGGTTATCCAGAGGTTGAGTCTGGTGAGAAGCCTGTGTGAGAGTGAAGAGCAGCGGTTACTAGAACAAGTACATGGTGAAGAGGAGCGGGCCCACCAGAGCATCCTGACTCAGCGAGCACACTGGGCTGAGGCACTGCAGAAACTTGACACCCTCCGCACCAGCCTAGTGGACATGCTTACCCATCTGGATGACTTCCAGCTAATTGTAAGTCAGGCAAGGGTGAGGGCACAAGAGGTTAGTCAATCTCCTCCAAATTAAAGGCCTTGAGAATGTCTACAGGTGGGAGGGGGTAAGCAGTGAGACTTTGGAACTGTGATAAATGACAGTGACTCTTTGCCAAACTCCAAAGCTTCTTCTATCTAGGCCCATCTGTGCATTTCCTTGTAAAATCCAGTTTTAGTAAAGAACCCAGCTGAATCAGTTTGGCCAAAAACCCCAACTTGACATCTGATCACCTTTGACATTGGATCAGGTTTCTCATCTCCACCATCCCCCAGTGATGTCTGATCACCCTGGCCTGTCTTCAGCAAGAATCCTGTCAGGGCAGTTTAGCCAGGATCCCCCTTACTTCTAGTGTTCTTCTTAGTGATTTTCCATCCACTGACTCCATCCTGCCCCATGGCTATCAGTTCTCACTTGCCTGTGCTTTATTCAGAGTTCAGCCTAATCTTTTTCCCACCTACCCACTGCAAGACCCCTTGCTGTGGTCCCCATATCCATCTTTATTGCAATGCTAACATAAATATTATTGAATCATTTCATCCTTAACGTGAGGCAGGAGAATAAAATATGTGAGAGTTTTGGCACCTGATAACAATATTCTGCCAATAGCAAGTGACTGTTCACAGAGTGCCTAAGTGTTGTGCAATGGGACAGAGTTACAGGGCACAGATGCCAGCTGCTCCCAGCTGTAATTACCCAGGAGATGAATACATAAATTGACAATTAGGATGTGTCATGGTAGAGGAATTCCTCAGAGGTAGGGACACCCGCAAGGCAGTTGAGGGTGCATGCTGGAAGGCTTCCTGGATGAAGTGACTCTGAAATAATGAAAAACACCCAGGTACAGGGAGTCAGGGAGGTGGAATGAGTTCAGAAGTGTACAGGAAGAGAAGGCTGTGCTGGAGTACACAGATGAGGACACCAATATGGAAATACAGAGCTCATTCCTGGTCCTACCAGACACTTGCCACAATTAACATTTGGAGTGTTACTTTTCAAATAACATTATTATTATTATTATTATTATTATTATTAGTAGTAGTAGTAGTAGTAGTAGTAGTAGTAGTAGTAATTTTTGGTCTTTTTGAGGCAGGGTCTCTTTGTAGCCCCAGCTGGCCTGGAACTCACTATGTAGACCAGGCTGACCTTGATCTCAGAGATCTGCCTGCCTCTGCCTCCTGAGTGCTGGGATTAAAGGTATGTGCCACCACGCCTGGCCCTCGAAGTACTTTATAGATAAGCAGATGCTTCCATCCAAATAAAACTGCAGAGCAAAGGGAGGAGAATGCAGAACTGAGCCGTTCCTCTGCCTTTCAAGTAGGGCAGTCAGGGAGACTGTCCTAGATTGTGCATTCTCTTAGTTACCAGCTTCCAGGCAAGGGCACATTCTGTCCTAGCCACTCAGTCAATCATAATAAGATTCAGAAAGTCATGTAGGAGCTGATGGTCTTCAGGGCTGGGGGTGGGAGGGGTGTGATTGTTACTGGAGATGATCCTCGTGGAATAGAGGGGATCTCAGGATGCCACAGAGCAATGGGGTGATTCATTCTGTGTATGTCATGGGGGTATTTGTTTGTGAGAGAGAACAGCCCAGAAAGCTTGGTGCTGAGCCTTAAGAAGTGGGAACTTTGTTCTAGAATTGGCATCCACACAGTGTTCTTCAGTTGTGTGTTCAGGTCTTGACCACCTGCTGGGTTTCTGTTGCCTGCCTGACCTGATTTTCTTTTCTTGCAGCAGAAGGAGCAGGAGATTTTCGAGAGGTGAGTTTGGCCCCGTGCTTTGCTCAGACAGTCATGGAGACCCTCAGTCCTCTTTTCCAGTCTACTGTATTCCAGGAATTCAGCTGAGCAACTTCCCTGGAGCCTGGCTCCATGCTGGCGCTTCCTCACTCCTGTGACTACTTTAGATTCATATGGAAGGGCAGTGAACAAAAACTTACTAGTCAGGGCCCTGGCCTGGGCTTTCTTAAACTTTATCTGCTTCAACTTGTGGTCAGTCACCCAAGAAGTTTATGCTCCATCCCCCAGATAAAAATGCTGAAGTCCAGAAAGAGCAGTGGCCTGATGGGCTTGCCTTAGCTGCAGAGCCAGGGCGGAGACTGTTCCAATACCTGGCCCCTGCTGTCTCCACTGCCTTCTTTTCTATGATGAAAGAATCTGTGAGGCCTAAATCTGCATTACCACTCAAATTTTGCATTTTTTAAAAATATTTTATTTCATGTATATGAGTGTATTGCCTGCATGTATGTAGTGAACCTGTATCATGCAATGCCCACAGAGGCCAGAAAAGGGTGTCAGATCCCCTGGAATGGAGTTTTGGATAATTGTTAGCTGCCATGTGGGTGCTGGAAATTGAACCTAGGTCCTCTGCAAGAGCAGTCAGTGCTCTTAACCACTGAGCTATCTCTGCAGCTCCAAATTTTGAATTCTAATTGTTCCACAATCAAAGAATTTCACCAAATCTGTCCTTGGTGCTACAAAGACCTCAGGAAGTGGCCAAATGGATATAATTTGCCAGTCAAGATAATTAACCCATCCCACTGGAGTTGTGTTGCTTAGTGGTACAGCATTTTTGCCTAGCATGTGCAAAAAGAGTTCAAGGCCAGCCTGGTCTCCATAGCGAATTCAGGCCAGCTAGGGCTACAGGGAGAAAAAAAAAAAAAAAAAAAAAAAAAAAAAAAAAGCAAAGTGAGTTTTCAGCAATTCTCAATCTTATTCTCTTAAAGGTGGTTGGTTTTAAATGTATAGGTTTTTTAAATCACATTTATTTTTAAAGATTTATGTATTTTCATTTTATGTATATGAGTATTTTGCTGGCATGTATGTATATATACCATATGTGTGTCTGGTGCCTGAGGAGGCCAGAAGAGAGTATCATATCCCCTGGAACTGGAGTTATAGGTGGTCATGAACCACCATATGGATTCTGAGAACTGATCCTGGATCATGTGCAAGAGCATCAAGTCCTCTTAATGGCTGAGCCCATCGCTCCAGCCTCTCCTTCCTTCCTTCCTTCCTTCCTTCCTTCCTTCCTTCCTTCCTTCCTTCCTTCCTCCCTCCCTCCCTCCCTCCCCCCTCTCTCTTTCTTTCTTTCATGTTTGTTTGCGTTCAAGCGTGTGTGTGTGTGTGTGTGTGTGTGTGTGTGTGTGTGTGTTTATGTTTATGATAGGGTTTTATGTAGTCCAGGTTGATCTAGAACCCTTGATCCTCCTTCCTCTGCCTCCTCAGTGCAGGGATTACAGGCCCGACCCACGAGTCATTCTAATTGAGGCTTGACTTGTTCTCTCTTCTTCCCTCTTACAGTCTTTCCACACCAGTCGGTCTGCTTGTTCCATTTTATCTTCATCATTTTCCTTTCCTACAGTTTATCCCTGATATGAAGCAAGTCTGATTTTCGAAAGAAAAATTTCTTTGATCTCTAATTTTTTTACTTTGAAATATTTCAAGCTTATGAAAATGTTGCAAAAGTGGTACAATGAGTTTTACCTAGAAATACCGGTTGTTAATGTTCTGCCATAATAGCTCTTGCTCTGTTGCTTTTCCTATCTGTGTGACTGTCATCTGCCATCTGTCTGTGTATCTATAGCTATCATCTATCTAGTGTATATACAAAAATGTTTTTTTAAGGCCCCTGTGTTGGCACACACCTTTAATCCTAGCACTTGGGAGGCAGAGGCAGGTGGATGTCTGTGAATCAAGACCAGCCTGGTCAACATAGTGAATTCCAGGCTAGCTGGGGCTACAGAGAGACCCTGTCTCAAAATGACCAAAAAATTAAATTAAATTAAAATATTTTTCTCATACATTGGATATGTTGCAGAGAACATGAATTTTTGTCTCTAAATACTTTAGTGTATCTCCTAAAAACAAAGACATTTTCCTATGTAACCCTAGTATAGAATTTAAAAAGTATAACATTGACATAATACTATTTTCAATCTGAAATTGTCCCCTTAGCTTTTTTAATTGTATGTTTTAACATTTCACATTTCAGACCAGTTTTATAGAATATCATTCAACTTAAGAGTATATAACATTCCCATATGATTAGATTCAGTTGTGTGTTTTTTGGCAGGAATACCTTGTAAGTGACAAGTCCTCAGTTTATCATATTGGGGGAATGTGAGATCACTGCCCCATTATCAGGGGTATTAAATCTGACCATTTGAACCAAGTGGCATTTAGGATGTTATCAGTCAGGTTCTTCATTATAAGGTCACGTTTTCCCTTTCATAATCGGTAAGCAAATTGTGAGAAGATGCTTTTTCTATGTATGTCCTGTTTCTTGCTACCCTCCAAGATTTTTGTTTTTGGTCTTTTTCCAATAGGGTCTCCCTGTAGCTCCAGCTGGCTTGGAACTTGCTATGTAGACCAGGCTGGCCTCAGTCTTACAGAGAGATCCACCTACCTCTGCCTCACTACTGCTGGAATTAAAGGCATGCACTACCATGCCTAGCTGTACCCACTAAATTTTTACCCAATATGTTTGCATCCATTATTAATTTCTGCCTGAATTATTCATTTATTTGCTTTCTTGTTCACTCTCTTACTTAGTATCAGTACAGATTCACAAATTCTCATTTAATGCATTATAAATGATTACTGCCATTATGACAATTTTGATATTCCGATTGTTCCACATTTGAACACGGGAACCCCTTCCAGCTGGAGCCTATGTCTTTTTAAAGATTTTTATTTACTATTTTTATTTTATGTGTATGAGTGTTTTGCCTGCATGTATATAAGTACACCCATGTTGTGCAATGCCTGCAAGGTCAGAAGAGCGCATCTGATCCCCAGGAACTGGAGTTATAGTTTTTAGCCACCATGTGGGTGCTGGGAACAGAACCCAGGTCTTCTGCAAGAGCAGCCAGGGCATATAACCACGGAGCCATCTCTCCAGCCTCAAGCCTATGTCTTTTTGACAAGTCCCCATTTTCTTTGAGCACTTTCTCACTGTGACACAAAAAGATATATCCCCAGGCTCAATTTCATTTTTTCCTGCCCCAGACTTGGAATCAGCTATTTCTAAGGGGTCTTGTATCTTTTTAGTAGGAAGAGATATCTCAAGGCCAAGATACGGGCATTAAATGTTCACACTACTACATGTAATTGTCCTGGGGCTTCTCAGAGGACAGCAGTCAGAACTAGGGGACATGTGTAATGTTCATGCATGAGTCTGTACCACAACTTTCAGTCCACTCTAACAGTGCAGTGTTTTGCCTTTGCCTGGTCCCCCATTCCACCCACATTTGTCTCTTCTTTTACACTAAGAGCTTCAGCTTCCAACAATGCCAGTATATTTATGTACTTGCTCAGTCTTTCAGTGCACTCCAAAAAACTGTTGTCAGGCCCCTCTAGCTGGATCCTTGCTTTCCTGGTGAGAAATGACTTTGTTGACTCTGGTGTTTCCATATGCATGGTGGCTGGGCTCAGCTTTTGCCTAAGAGTGGCAACAAGGCCCCCATTTCACTTCCCCACCTTGGAGCCATGAGTTTTGTGTTCTGTACCATTTTGTTGCTGGTCCAGGTGGCTCAGTGTTGACTGTGCTGTCCATGCTTGGTGTTGTTTGTCCTAGAATGGCAGCTAGTTGCTGACACTGGCTCCTCTTTCATCTCCACCCGTTGGCTGGGGGTGCTCCAGGTGGAGCTGCTGTGCTTTGAGAAGATGGTACAGACTCCTCTTGTCCTGACCACAAAGAACCTTTGTCACCAGAGCCCAACATTTCTAAGGCTCTGCTCATTTCATTCTTCTCAGGATGGGACAGTGACAGTCTTGCAGAGAGCTCACATCATCAGAGTACTGCCATCTTTAGGATTAGAAGTGGTGGGAATGTTCTTTCTGAGAATGCAGGTCGGAGGGCTGCAAAGGGTCAGATAAATTCCCACTTCACTTTTTATCTCTCTGAGATTTCCTTATAGGTCAAGGGAAAAAAAAATGGGTTGAATGATGCCTGGGCTCCATCCTGGGTGTGTTCTATTTTTGCATGGAGGCAGGACTTGAATTCAGCTCCCATTTCTGCTAAGGGCCTTCTCTGAAGCACAGTTCTTGCATCAGATGGGATAACTATTACCTTCCTATTATGTGGCAAAGTTTAAGTGATTTACTATAGAAATAATAAGCCCAGAGGCCAAACAGTTGGGTAAATGACACTCTTCCCACCAGGCATTCTATTTTTTTTTTAAAGTTCTCTCTCTGGCTCAGCAGTTAAGAACACTGGTTGTTCTTGCAGAAGACCCGGGTTCAAATCCCAGCACCCACATGGCAGCTGACAACTGTCCATAACTCTAGTCCCAGGGGATCTGATAGCATCTTCTGACCTCCACAGGCATTGCATGACATGGGTGTACTTACCTACATGTAGGTAATACACACATACACATAAAAAAATAATAAAATTTTTTAAAAAGCGCTCTGTGTGTGTGTGTGTGTGTGTGTGTGTGTGTGTGTGTGTGTGTGTGTGTAAATGCCAGTGTGCATGTGGAGGTCAGAGAACAATCTCAGGTGTTTGTCCTCACCGTCTATCTCGTTTAACACAGGATGTCTGTCTGCTGTTAACAGCTGCCTACACCAGGCTAGCTGACCTTGGAGCATCTGGAGATGCTTCAATCTCTGCCTACCATTTCTCCTTAGGAGCACGAGGATTACAGGTGCACGGTACTGCACCTGGCTTTCCATGGGGTCTGGGGCTTCAAACTCAGGCCCTCATACTTCATAGCAAGTGCTCTACCCACTGAGCCATTTCTCCAGCCCTGTTGGCTCCTTCCTGTGTGACCCCTCAGGAGGTTATTTGCATGTAAGAGCTGAGGAGTGGCTGAACCTTCCTACCAAACCAGGGAAACACTCCTATTGCACTGAGGTTTGGAGGAGATGAGGCATTTTCTGGATAGGATAGTAAGAGTAGAAATACTATGGCGCAGGAGTCCAGAGGCCCAGATCTTAGTTCCAGTCTGGTTACCAGCTTACTGAGAGAAACTCAAGAGTCGCCTACTGCCTCTAGTTTTTTTCAGGGTTGG